TACACGAAATAAGAAAACGGAAGGCTAATTGGATTGGTCATGTTTTACGCAGAAACTGCCTTCTAAAAGAAGCTATCGAAGGAAAGATAGATGGGTGGATAGAAGTGACAAGAAGACGAGGAAGAAGACGTAAGAAGATGCTGGATGACCTTGGGGACAGAAGAGGATACTGTCATTTGAAGGAGAAAGCTCTAGATCGCATTAAGTGGAGGAATTGTTTTGGAAGAGACTGTGGACCTGTCGTCTTGACAGATTACTGATGATGGTGATGATATATATATTCTTTAATGGGTCATTTAATGACACCTTTGGTATTAAGGCTGTAGTATAAGATGGCAGAATGACTGGTGTATGAAGGGATATTGTGGCATATAGACTTGTTTCTAGGCAACAGCCACAAAACAAACAACAGAACAACATCCGTTGCTATGCAGTAGGCAGCGTGCCAATGGACTGGCTGGGAAATGATATTTTCTGCAAGGTTTGTGATGATGGTGGTACATGCAACAGTTGATATAACAATCAGAACAGTGTTTTCTGTGTGGTCCATGCCTAGATGTTATAAGCAGGACAGTTAGCTGGAGCAAGAGTTTGGTTAAGGGATATGTGCCAGACAGTAAGGAAGTAAGCAGAGAACAGTGTTAAGATCTGTTACCAGGAAACGACTAGTGAAGACATAAAAGACTTCATGTGTGCTGCAGTCAGTTGTCAGTTGAAAGCCAACCTGTGATGTGAAGACTAGGAGGTTGGTGTGTGAAATGGCAGCCAGCCTGGGAATTAGTCAGAGAACTGCAGTTCAGTCATCATGAGCCATTGCTGTTAGGGGCTGGTAGCTGAGGCACGGGAGTAGTTCAGGAATCCAGAGTCAGGGGAACGTCCGCCATTGAAGCCGTTGCCAGGAAACGGCTAGTGGAGACTGTAATAGACTGAGGACACTAGTCTGTGTGTGTGTGTGTGTGTGTGTGTGTGAGAGACAGTGATCTGTAAAGTGTAGTCACGAGTTTAGAGTGTATAGGTGGCCAATAAATCGAGTCACCAATCCAAACCCTGTCTATAGTCACTTATACACGTGACAGTATGGAAGGAGGTGGTCACGGCCTAGCCCAGATGTTATTGCGGTTTTTGTCTGGAGGGACTGAGGGAACAACGTTAAAATTTGGTCAGTATATCCATTGTCCTGGGGCTAGGTTAGAATTGTCATCACTTAGATTTAACCAGGGGCTTTCTTGACCTCCAGAGGAAGTGTAAACCAAAATGAAATAGCAGAGAGGGATCAGTACCCTCCTTTGGGTCCTCTTTGATCGCTTCTTGAGGTCAAACCAGGATTTTAAGAAAACAAGGAAATAATAATAATAATAATAATAATAATAATGATAATAACACGAGTAATTGAGTAATTACTGGTAATATTTATTCTTTCTTTTTCATTATGGTTTGATGATGCTGGGTGTGACTTCTGGATACTTGACTCAGGAACATTATTGTTTGTGTTATTTTCAACCAGCTTGTGGCCAGAAGAGGACACAAGTGAACAGCACCTCATTTTAAAGGCTGTATCAACAGCAGTTAATGAGAACAGAGTAATGAAGACAAGCTTGAAAATTGTCCAATTTGTGTTTGTCAGTTTGTATGTGTTGACCTTTCTGGCATCTGCCCATCTAGATGGGCGTAACTCTTTTAAATCAAAGGAAGAAATCGGTGTTTAGTGGAGTGATGCTTTCCTGAACAATGCAGGGGCAGATGCGACATAAGGAGCCATGTTGTTGTTTTCAACATTCTTTCCTTATTTTCAAAAAAATTAAAGGCTTATGGGATCACCTTGCTGTCTGTGTCTGTATATCCCCTTATCGTTGCTAGGTAGTGGCTTGGTAAATATGTTCCCGCAGCAATGAATACACGCACAACAAAAGAATAATTGTTGGACATGTCGTTTTCTATGGGGTCCATGTCATGTCAAAGGAAAGTAGAAAATTAGTTCTTCCCAGAACTTCTTTCATCATATTCCTCCTCTTCCTCTCTCTTGTATTCATATTATCATGTGTTAGTGACTGCACATGGAGTTTGGACTGATAACTGGATTTACTGGATGCTTATACCTAGTAACTACAGGTAATTAGAACAGTCTCACTAATTCAGACACTCAATACCATGAAAGCTACAGCACCCATGTGTTTTGTTTGTTCACTAGTTGTTGCTAGGCAGTGGCTGCTAACAGTGCAGTTCTATACTGCTGAGTGCTGGCTCTGACCTCTGACTGTCTGTCTCACTGTTAGCTCACTCACTTGTCCAGCTGGTCCGCATTATATAACCTTGGCACTGACTGCAATGAAAACACTGCATCCTCCACTGTCGCATCAGTATCTGTCACCATGGAAATGTGTTTACTGCTCTGTTGCGTAGCAATAGCCACATCTATTAATTCCACTACTCTGGCTTTCAGCTGTCATGTCACAACATCGTAGGTTTAGAGAGTGGTGGATATGGTGGTCGACAGAGTACACAGCGTCATGTGTGAGAAAACCACAATCAGGGTTATGGCCTTCTGGGATGTAGCACTGTGTAGTTTGGTATGGATCCTGCATCCTCCATGTTCAGCTTAGAACTCTCCTACCTTAAAAATGGAGGCAATGAATTCCTTCAAAAGCTGGTACCTGTGTACCAAATTATGTAGTGTCACACTGCAGGTGACTGTAACCTTGAAACTGGTTGCCTCCAGAACCTCACATTTGACATAAACGTTACATGAAGAAAAATTAAGTCAAGTGTTTGCTTACGAGTTTGGGTCATCAACGAATGCAATGTCCCATACTTAGTATTTGTCTCCATTCCAGGGGTGTGGTCACGTGACATAGCTGCTATGGCCTGCCTGCGACTTCCCCTAGTTCCCATGAAGCATGCGTACATAGTGAGTGAGAGTGTACCAGATATCCATGGACTCCCTAATATACGGGATCATGATGCATCCACTTACTTCCGTATTCAAGGGGAATCAATTTGCATGGGTGGCTATGAGTATAACCCCATCTTACTGGACAGTGTAAGGAACAGTTTATCGATATATTTCTTTATGGCTCATTCAATGACATTGTAGCTCAAGGTACATACAGGTGTCCCAGGAGGAAAGGTCAGTATTCTCGGAGGTCATAATATTGGTCATTCTAATCAAAAGAGAATATACATATGTTTCCTATTCTGAACATTTTCCAAAATAAAGCTATTACACCATACAGACAAGCAACATGCCATGTCCTCCATGAGATGGAAGACATATTGATGTTGATGGTGGATAAGTATCCATAAGTTTCAGTATTCATTTTTATGCCCTCTTAAGGTAACATTTTAATTACTTACTTACTTCTTGCTTTTGGCTTCCCCACCAATATACTATATGCATTCCCCTTGGCAACCATTCGTGCTACATTCCTTGTCGATCTCATCCTCCTTGACTTCATCATTCTAATTATACTTGGAGAAGAGTACAAGTTACAAAGCTCCTCATTATGCAGTTTTTGCCAACCTGTCGCTTCATCTCTCTTTGGTCCAAATATTCTCGTCAACATCCTGTTCTCAAACACCCTCAGTCTGTGTTCCTCCCTTAATGTGAGAGACCAAGTTTGACACCCATACATAAACAGTGACAAAATTAATGTTTTGTGTATTCTCATTTTTATGTTTTTGGACAGCAGACGGGAAGACAAAAGGTTCTCGACTGAATTCTAGCAAGCATTACCTGAGTTCGAGCTCCTCTTAATTTCCTCCTCAATCAGGTTTTGATTTGTTATCGTCATTCCCAAATATCTGAACTGTGCCACATTTTAATTACATTATAAAAATGTATTAATCAGTGATAAAGTTTGAGTCAAATATTATTTGAAATCATTGTACCCAAGTCAGAATGCTGACACCAAGATCCATATAATGAAGATAATTAATCATTTAGTGGTATGTGCATATTTTATTATGCACATACCACTAATATTTTATTACAGTATTTTGATTCTTCATGTTTGTAGGTACCTCAGGATTTTGAGTTTGGTCTGTATGAACTTGACTGGTCAGTGTTTAACTTCTGCATCCAAGGAGCTGTGAAACTGATGCCCATATATGAGTCACTTGGGGTCAAGACAACAGTGTGTGGACCAGAAAGCTTTACACCAGATCATAAACCACTTTTAGGTATGGAATGCAGCGTTTGATATGATTCAGAATCTAGTCAGTAGAGGGCCATACACCCATGGTTTTTTCTGTGTACATGAACTGTAGTGGAAGAGTCTGTGTCTGGCCAGAATCATTGTTGACCATTATTGTGGCATGAGGAACAAGACAAAAAGATCGCGGATTTAATATGCCGTTGTTAAAGCCTCATGTTGATAGAAGAAAACTATTGTGACATGATGGCTGAAAGCTGATATAGTGGAGCCAGAGAAGGATGTCTGTTGATGATCAGTGGCTAAGTAAACACTAGTTTCTTTTACAATGGATAGCAGCAAACGAGTTGTGAAACATGAAAAGGTCTTGAAGATAGTCTTCTGGGATTTGGCACCGTGTATATGTGGTGTTAACCGACGTTCCTCCGAAACGTCGGTTAACACCACATATACACGGTGCCAAATCCCAGAAGACTGCTATCTTCATAGTCACCGCCGTGAAAGCCTCAAATCTTACATGAAAAGGTCTTGAAGACCGAAATTTGGTTTTTGGGTAGGACGTACCAACTCAAAGAGACTATAACAAATATGTCAAATGACAAAAGGGGGGGACGTCCTCTGACATAACGCAGACATGGCATTACATCCTCCCCCTCCCAAATTCACCCCTGGGGGGGGTGACATTAGGTCGAAGGGGGCTGCAGACGGTTACTGACGGTAGGAGCGGTGGGTTGCATAACGATGGTGAATAATATCAGGTGAACTTAACACACCTATAAGTCCTGCACTGAGCATGCTCACAACGATCAAGTAGCGTAGATACACTCGATGCCACAGTCTGCACTCTGTACCAAAAGTCCTAATAGGTGTCCACACCCACAACTGACATACGTGGCACCAACTCTGTCGCAACATACCCCGCAGCAATCGGATTGTTCACCGGTTTAGTTCAGTCCCACCTATATAGATGACGCTCACTGCCAACTGATGATGTCACTTTTCTACTGAGACAGTAGTACATTCTCTCCACTGGACAAGATATAGTCCTGCGAATCACCCCTTCTGAAGATGAATGAGTCCTTTATATCTTTTAGCATAGGGCTGGAGGAAAGTAAGTAGGATGTAAATGAAAGAAGGGATGGTCCATTGCAAGCATCCATCTGTTAACACACGTAAATGAAAATAAGAATTAACATAAATATTTACAATAGTCAAAAAAGAAACAAAAATAACAAGGTCGCTATATGAATATACAATTGCCTTACATCTATTGAATGGTGTAATATCTATACAATTGTCTGGGGATCCCCACACACACACTCTCACCCTCGTATATGCTTATGCTGATCAGCAATTTAACACACACATACACACACACACACACATATATATATATACAGGGTTATTCAAAAAGAATGAACCAATTTTATTACGCAATATTTTATTAAAGGAAAGTAATACAAAACTCCAGCCAAGTCACAAGTATTCTACTTGCAATCAACTTTTATTTCCTATCTTACAAGTGTTCAATGTTGCCACCACCTGCAGCATGGACAACATCAGTGCGATAAGAGAATTCCTCCGAGGCGCATATCAGTATATGATGATGCACTGAGTTAATTGCTGTTGTTATTCGATGTTTAAGGTCATCGAGATTAGTTGGTAGCGGTGGAACATAAACGTGATGTTTTACATATCCCCACAAGAAGAAATCACACACGGTGAGGTCTGGGGATCTCGCAGGCCAAGCACAAAGAGCAAGGTCTTGGGCCCCCTTCCGACCAATCCATCACTGGGGCACTTTTTCGTTTAAAAAAAGCTCTAACCATCAGGTGCCAATGGGGCGGTGCTGCATCTTGTTGAAAAATGAAGTCATGCGAATCTGCTTTCAGAGAAGTGAAGAGCCAGTTTTGGAGCATATCGAGATATGTTTGTCCTGTAATGGACCATAAACCTTGTCCTGAGACACAGCACAGAAGATGTTCACCTTAGTGAATCTCTTTCGTGCTCAACTGTTTCATGTGGGTGCTCTGTTCCCCAAATACACACATTGTGATGATTGACTGTGCCACTCAATTGAAAAGTCGCTTCACCACTAAAAATTAAACGTGAAATGAGGGTTTCGTCTTAGCGGCCTCCGTAGTCTAGGGGTAACGTTCCCACCTCATGACTCAAGGTACGTGGGTTCAAACCCGGCAGAGGTTGTGGAATTTTTAAGGGTGGAAAAATTCAGGGAACAAGTCCTCCGGGAGGGACTTTAAGCCGTGGGTCCCATGTCGTAGATTTACAGCAAGTAAAAGATCCTCATGTTTCTAGGAGACCTCTGAGCAAAATTAGGTAAAAAGTTTCCCTCCCAAGTAGTTTCCAATGCCTCCGGTAGATGGGGAAGTATCAGGCACCACTGCCAGTAGAGGGGCCAAACTCGCTGGCTGAACGGGGCTGATTGTGAGCACCAGTACTGGAAGGGTATGGCGACTGGTAGAATATCAAAGGGGGACGTACAATAGATCAACGACTGGTTGCGGTGCATGGGAAAACCCACCCCCTCCAATAATGAATAATGAATGAATGAAGGTTTCGTCTTCCATCATCTCCAGCATCGAATTGCAAAATTCCATCCGCTTCCTTTTGTTGTCACTGGTAAGTGCCTGAACGAGCTGCAGTCTGTATGGTTTCAAATGTAGACATACTGTTAGCACACGCCAGACAGTGGATTGAGGGATTGCAAGCTCACGGCTAGCTCTATATGTTGACTTCCGTGGGCTCCTCTGAAACACAGCATGGATCCTCACCATTTGTTCCTCAGAGACTTGTGGTCATCCTGGACTTTTTCCTTTACACAGACACCCACTCTCTCGAAACTGTCGAAACCACTGTCGAATGTTCTTAGGACAGGGTGGATTAATGCCGAATCGCCTTCGAAAAGCATGCTGCACCGTCACAACCAAATTTGTTTTCACGAACTCGAGAACGCAGAACGCCTTTTTCTGAGGACTCGTCATTCCGAGGCTAAACGAACAACTGAACGTTGCCGGAAGAACGACGTGACTTCAGTGCCCCTGTGGCAGCCATTCACAACTTAGATAACTCCTCTTTCAAATGGTCACTGACTCATTCCATGACGATGCTTGAGAACTGAAGCAATGCGTTGTGAAATCGGTTCATTCTTTTTGAATAACCCTGTATGCTAGCATATACATACTTGTTAGACAAAACACATGACTAGCTGAAGATCCATTGCTAGATAAGAGTCTACACAGACCAAGGCATGAGTATTACCTGATCTAGATTGGGGAAAATTATCCACAAAATCAATGAACAATTTCTCCATCGGCCGGCTTGCTACTTCTGGCACCAACATACCGTACTGGGCCTGTTGGGTGGGCTTACTGAGCCCACAGAGCCGACACGCCCGAACTTTCCCAGCGATATCAGCATCCATCCCCTTCCATATAAACGACTGGCGAATCTTCCATAAAGTCTTACGTACTCCTAAATGACCCCTGCAAGGAGAGTCGTGGAAATACGCAAACAGCACGTGTGCCAGAATTTCGGGAATTACCACCTTAGGCTTACCATCAAAAGGGGCCTTACAATAAAGTACGCCCTTCATCAGGGAATATCTTCGTACTTCTTCCCCAGCTATAAATTGGTGAATAATGGGGCTGAGCACTGGATCAGTGTTCTGGTGCTTAGCAATATCTTCAAACAACACAGGGAAATCCAAAAGCACTGGGCATACGGGGATATCAACAGGGGTATCATACATTCATGACAAAGCATCCGCAATGAAATTCTGGCTTCCCTTGATGTGTTGGACATTAAATTTGAATGAAGATAATCTTACCACCCATTGACCAATCCTTCCTAGTTGGCGGGGATGTGATAAATACCACGATAGAGCCTGATTATCAGTCTGCAGATCGAATTCAATATGTTCCAAGTATGGTCTGAATTTCTCCAGACCAAACAGGACCGGTAGACACTCCAGCTCGTACGTGGAGAATTTGCGCTCTTGATGGGACAATGTACGAGATTCGTAGCAATTGGTTGTAGCTCCCCATCAAACTCTTCTAATAGAACTGCAGCCACAGCAACAGAGCGCTGGCATCTGTCTGAAGGGTAAATTTCCGTGAAAAATCCCCATTTCGGAGGATTGGGGGGTTGATGATATATAGTTTAAGATCCTCAAACGCGACTGCTGCTCCGTTCCCCATGCAAACTTCTCACCCTTCTTTCGAAGTAGGTTAACCCTTTTGCGCGGTCATTTAAATTCCGCGGCCGCGTCTCCGGCGGTAATATATTCAGCCGGCCATTTAAATTTTGCTCGAAAATGATTTATTCATCATTGTTCTTAAATTCTATGAGATAGGAACATGAAACTTTCACTAAAATGATCTTAAAAGGTGGTTTTATAACCTTACCTTATAATATGAGCGCCCTTTATCTCGTCAATGGAAGCAGGTTTTTTAGTATTTGAGCAGTGAATGGTACGCCTTGAAGCATGAAACTTTCACTAAAATGATCTTAAAAGATGGTTTTATAACCTTACCTTATAATATGAGCGCCCGGTATCTCGGCAATGCAAGCAGGTGACGCCTTGAAGCATTAGTCTAAACACAGCGCTGGCTCACATTCACCAAACCAATACTGCGTATCTTTTCTTTTGCTCTTTTTTTTTTAACCACACAGCTTCTGTGCGGCCTAGCCCTCTTCCCCGTGAGGGGTATAGTTCAAGGAAATGTCCTTCCGTGAGCAGTAAAGCTAGTCAGGTCAGCTGCAGTAAATTCAACGTTACGAGTTATCATAACAAGGGGTTGTTGCTATGCCTTTGATATTCCATCCATTTTGGCGGCAGTAGATGTCGTAGGGGTGACCACAGAATTCATGAAGTTATTCTAAGAACTGGCTGGTATGTAATGAACGAAAGCAGAGCTTAGCTGGCTCAAAAAAATATTTATGGTCATCCCTTGAAACGACCACCAAGGTCAGTACGATAAAATGGTGTCAACTGGAGCGATAATACATGAAGGAATGAGTTCTTTTCCCTCCCCCACACACATCCGTATCGTCTCAGGGGGTGACCACAGTGTTCTGCCTTAATTCGTGACGTTTTTCTAAGAATTGGGTGCTATGTACTGTGCGAAATAAATCGATCTTGCAAGAATAAATTTTTGGACATCCCTCTTCTAAGAATTCCAATTGAGTGTGTTAGTGTGGCCAGCTCAGGGCAATATGATATTATAAACACAGCACATATCACGTCTCTGCTGTTTATAACTTCAAAGCAAAGAAAACACGCCATTCATAACAGTAGAACGAAGAAACCGCTCGCAAGAGCCACAGGAACTTTGCTGCAAGACAGGCATATGTAACGATGATTTAGCGCAGCTAAACTCGTGTCTCATTATAAACCGTTCTTGTGACAACAGGCCAGCGAAAAATCTAACAATCTACAGCAAAACCATCAATTATTATGGGCGTTATAACATAGGTGTGCAGCTGGATGAAACATACACGTCGAACCCCCCCAGACGATTTAAATACCTGACGAAACATACACGTCAAACCACGCTGAACGGTTAAGGGCTGCTGCGCATTCAGCAAAATGGGGGATAAATTTATGGAAGAAATTTACCATACTGATGAATCTTGCAATCCCCTTTACATCCCGGGGAGGAGGGAAATTCTCAGTGGCTTCAGTTCTGCTTGGGTCCACAGTGATTCCCGAGGGTGAGACTATATGTCCAAGAAATGACAAGCGGGGAGTAGCAAATGTAACCTTATTTGAGTTAACAGTTAACCCCGCCTGACGCAACCGACTGAGAACCTCATGCAAATGGAGTATGTGTTCCTCAAAGGAATCACTATAGAGTACTAAATCATCCAAATAGTAGAAGACGAACTTAAACTTTATGTCCTAGAAGACCTTATCCAGGAGCCACGTTAAAACCTGCACTCCGGTGGCCAGCCCAAAAGGCACCTGAGTATACTCATATAAGTTCCAGTCAGTGGCAAAGGCAGTTAATGCCTTGGATCATTCAGTCAGACCAATCTGATGATATGCTGAATTTAGGTCGAGCGAAGTGGAAACTTTGGCTCCTTTGAACCAGTGTAAACATGGTGTATATCTGGCAATGGCACCGACTCGATTTTGATTTTCTTATTAAGTGCACGGTAGTCCACAACCAGATGAAATCTGTCTTCGCCTTTGGGGACAAGGAAAATGGAACTCGAGTATGGAGACGTGGAGGGAGTAATGATACTCTCATCAAGTATTTGACATATGTGGCGGCGCAAGATATCCATTTTAGTTGGCATCAACCTGTAGGGTGAGACCTTAAACGGAGATGCGTCCAGTAGCTCAATGTCATACTTTAATAGATTAGTGAGTCCCAACTTCAGAGGTTAGGACATCCAGAAAATCCTTAACAAGCTGCTTCAACTGAGTAGCGCTTACGTCACTCAAATAGGAAAGGTCAGGATGCGACTGGAAAGCAGTGCACACCCATGAAACCTCCAGAGTCGAAAATCAACGTTGTAAGGTCATTCTATTGGTGGGGTCAAATTTACAGAAGGCAAACCCTTCCTGTATATCAATCATCAAACCAACCTTACCCAAGAAATCTGCTCCCAAAATAACTGGTTGGATCAAATCCAGGACCACATAGAAAGGAAACTTCCACATATACCTATCAATCCTAACCTTGCATTTAACCCCAATGTGCACCAGAAAGGTGTGCGCAGACGCAGTGACACATCTCACAGTGACAGGATAAGTGGGTATAGTGGGGAATTTCCTCTTAAGGTTTTCATAAACAGTAACCGATATTAATGAAAGCAGAGCCCCTGAGTCCAAGAGTGCGTGCACTGGTCCGAAACCCAATTCCACTTGAAGACGGTAAATGATTCTCAGAAACATCCTGTATACTCTGACTCTGCAAGGTAGAAACTGTATGAGTATCACCCATGGGAATGGCAAAAGGCATATGGGAACTAGAGGACTGCGCGTTAACTTCTAGTCAATTACGTCGATCTTGGGATAAAGGCGGCTGCCTAGGTAATGCTGATAACTTAACACGGCACTCTTGACGGGTGTGCCCAACTTTGTTACAGCGATAACAAACATTTTGGGAAGGTTGCGAAATAGGGTTACCAGACACAGAAGGCTCGGCAAGAGTCATAGGAGTGGGTGGATTGCGCGATTGGGAGCTCTGACTCTCGTCGCTCGTCAAAATATTATGTGCATATATGCACATGTTGTCTAGTTCGGCATAGGGGGCAGGTTTATCACAAAAAACTAGCCGACTTCTTTCCCGAGGGTGGAGCCCATCAAGGATATTTCTGACCACAACTGCCACGTCCTCATCCTGACACAGAACAGCAGCAATTTCCTTAATGTCAGTAATATAAGCAGATAGGGACTCATTGGCCCTTTGGGCTCTCAAATGATTGGAACTTATCAGTGGCAACATGGCATGTATTGGAATAAAAAACTCAAGTATACTCTCATGATAAACTTGGAGAGTATCCCCACACCGTACTGTGTCAGATGTTTTTGAGGCCAGTGCTCCCTTGGTGAAACTATAAAAGACTTGCAAGACATGAACTGGGGGCACTTGGAAAACCGTAAGAATGTGCCTAATCCGCACTAAAACTCGCAAAAAGTTGATCAACTGAGACAAGTCTAATCCGTCCGTGACAGGAAGACCCCGAAACATTTGCTGTACTGGATTCAGCAATTTTGCGAAGACGAAGGGAAAGGTAGAAATGCTACCAGGATAAGTGGACACCCCTGTGGTTGGTAGATTACCCAAGATTGAGCGATCGTTTCATTGACTGGCCAGATCCACGACAAGAAGAAGGGAAGGGGTCAAATGCTCCATGTGTGGACTGGCAGAAAATACAACAGCTGATTCGGCCCTACCTTCAGCGTTGTGCAGATGGTTCGTACTTGCAGTGACCGGTGGTACTGATGACATATGCTCCTCACTCTGCAAATTGCTGCTGATTTCTGCTGAATGTGACTGCGCTTGCTCACGCAGTGTCAGGGCAGAAGACACCAACTTTGGTTGTATTCTTCTAAACTGGAACAGATGGCGAAGCCGAGTACTAAGATGGGCAAGTCTATGTAAATAACGAGGGAAATCAACGAAAACACGGGAACTGTGCATGTTTTCCACCAACTCTTTGATTTGCAAAAATTTATCCTGACAACAGGAAAGAATAGTTGGCATATCCTTCAAACCTTTTGTAGTGATGAACCGCTTGGTGTTCACTTCAACATCGCGCGAGGTCCTGAACAACACACTCAATGCAGCCACATTCAACCCTTCGATAGGAGCTCCTCGGACGGTGAGCTCATACTCTAGTTCGTCCCTCTACAAGTACTCAGGCACTACTGGCTCTGTAGTCATAATGAAAATAACAGCAAGAAAATAGAAAACTAGGACAATGACCAAAAGATCCCAAAAATCAAACCGCGCTCTGCTACCACTTTGAAACGTGAAAAGGTTTTGAAGACCAAAATTTGGTTTTTGGGTAGGACGTACCAACTCAAAAAGACTATAACAAATATATCAAATGACAATATATATATATATTAAATACTAAATGCGAATACAATGTAAGTCCCTGGAGGTAATAGGCCTCCGGCAATCAACCAATCAAAATCATACAGACCAGGAAATGAGTGACTCAACAGTTCAAGCTCCCACAAGAGATTGGATCACTTGCGTTGGACTTCAGCAGTCCGGAACGAGGAAGTGGAACAATGGAAGGGGAAGGTAGTAAAAGGGGGGGTGGACGCCCTCTGACGTAACGCAGACATGGCATTACAGTTGTTACCAGGTAACAAGTTGTAAACACTTAGGAAACTAAGCTGTTCGTTGGGAATGATTACATGGTCTCTGATACAACACATTCTTGAAGAGCAGAATAGCAGTCTTATGGGATGTGGCACCATGTAGATATTATGTTAACCGACGTTTCGGAGGAACGTATCGCCTCCATCTTCAGGATGGAAGAAAAAAGAAGAAACTCCACAAGCGAGGAACCAGCATGAGCAGCTGCTAAGAGACATTAGTCAGCACCTGCTCATGCTGGTTCCTCGCTCGTGGAGTTTCTTCTTTTTTCTTCTGCCATGAAGATGGAGGCGATATGTTCCTCCAAAACATCGGTTAACACAGTATCTTCTTGGTGCCACTTCCCAAAAGACTCCTTTCTTCGTATCTTGTCTTGTTTCTCCTTTAATATTTCTCAGGAATTTAAAATTCATTGTTTTTACTGAATTTGAATTCCATACAGTTTGACAGGAAACGACTAAGGATACAGCCATGGAGTCCTGTAAAGGTCCAGTACACTGTAAATTTAATGTATTTTATATGCTGTAACAGTCAGTAAAATATGAGTGAAGAATCATCCAGGTAGTGTGTGAGTGAGTGTGAAGACTACGATCTTCTGAAATGTGATGCCATGTAGTCTGGTAGTACTGTAACACCTGTTCTGTGACGCTTCATGGTATCACATCTAGTCAGTGGGTCTCATGATAAATCCATTGTCCTGATGAAACAGGGGAGGACCCAAGATTACGGGGCATGTACCATAACTGTGGCTTCAACTCGAGTGGCATGATGCTTGCCGGAGGATGTGCAATCCAAATAGCTCAATGGATTGTGAATGGCCGACCAGATCTGCATATGTTCAGTTATGATATCAGGTAATATATTTTTTTTACAGTGACTTAAGGCTCCTTTTATATTCCCCAAATACAAGAGACACATTTATACAATTACTGTCATCTGGGGTGTGGTGTAGGGTAGTCTGGTAGACATTTGGTGACGTTTCACAGGAATGTTCTGCCCCCATCTTCAGGTCAGAATTGGCAGCATGTTCATCCAATTAATCTGCAAATATTGGCTATACTACACAATAAATTGCTATTGAAAAGTTGCTGAGGTATAAATCACCAAACGTCAATCATATTACAACAGAATTTTTCCAAGCAGGATGTGCAACATTACATTGTGAGAGCCGTCTGCATTGGTGGTGGTAACATGCTCACCATTGGACTCAAAGTTCGCAGCTTCACACCTCAAGAACCTTTCACTCATAACACTTTGCGGACTGCGCACTCTTTAAAAGGTTTTTCGCTTTCAAACATGGCAGACTGTTCGCGTGTTAACAGGTTTTTAAAACACGATAAGTTGCAACACACTATACATCTCTCTGGCTCCACCTAGTTAGCACGTAGCTGCTTGCAGCTGCGTTATAAGGCTCTGGAATGTCTGCCGACCAATCAGTTACTAGACCTCACTGTAACTCTATGCCCCTGCAAAGGAAAATAAATGCCTTTATTTCTTCAAGCTTTATGTAACAAGCTGTCAGTCAGTAGTTCAATATGGATCAAAGACCAAAGCGGTTGACACCCAAGCGATTTCTTGGAGAACAAGAAATTCTGACTTCTTCTCCAATGAGCTATCTGACGTCCCTTGTGAGTCTGCTAGTGATAGCGACTCACAATCTGATAGTGAGTGTGGCAGGGGCGAACAAAAAATTGTGACCACAGACAGTGAAAGTGAATGTGAAAGTGACCATAGTTCCGACGAATGTGCAGGTAGCAACATTGAGGGGACAGCCACATGGGGAAAAGTAGACAAAACACCTGCTTTGGGACAGTTTACTGGAAATCCAGGGGTGAAGCAAATTCCATCGGACCCAACGCAAGTGTCTGAAGTAGCGGAACAGTTTTCTGGAGATAGTTTCTTTGACATGCTATGTCAGGAAACTAACAGATGCTATCTCCAACACTGTGAACATTATGACAGAAGTTATAAGGCGTTGAAGTAGGTGGATGTCACTTCAGCAGAAATGAGAACATTTTTTGCAGTTATCTTTCTAATGGGCCATACAAGGAGGGATAATCTGAAAACGTATTGGTCAACAGATCCATTTTTAGAAATTTCAATTTTCGGCAAACTAATGAGCCGTAAGAGATTTGAGCAAATTTGGTGGTGTTTGCATTTCAATGATAATGAACTGCAACCACAGTCAACAAGCAGACTTTTCAAAATTCAGCCCTTATTGAACTTTTTCATTCAAAAATTTCAGAAAGTTTATAAGCCAAACCAACAATTGTCTTTGGACGAATCTGTGATTCCTTGGAGGGGAAGGCTTCATATGCGAACATATAATCCTGGGAAACTTACAAAGTATGGCCTACTTGTTCATGTAGTTACTGAAAGCACTTCAGGCTATATTGGAAATTTAGAAATTTATTCTGGTGAAGGAAAGAAGTTACAAGAAACTATTCTTTCCGTTTTGGAACCCTATCTTGATCAAAATTACCATGTCTATCAAGACAATTATTATAACAGTGTGGCAACTGCAGAACACATATTTTTGAGAAAAGTACATGTTTGTGGAACAATTAGGGTGAACAGAGGCCTTCCTCCAGATCTGAAAGAGGAATGTAAATCCCTGAAACGTGGTGAAACCACGTTCAGGAGGAAGGGGGATATTCTTCTTCAGTCCTGGAGGGATACTCGTGTTGTGAATATGATTTCCACAATTCAGTCATGGTTGATGTTCAAAGGAGACATGGACAGGTAAAGAAGCCTGTTTGTATTTCCAAGTATAATATGTTCATGAAGGGAGTTGATAGAGCCGATCAGTA